ACAGGTAAGGCCCCCACCGTGCTGTGTCGCACAGCATTGCATGGCATCGCACTGCATTGCATGGCATCACATGGCATCGCATGGCATCACACCATATTGCGCGGCATCACACCGAATTGCTTGACATCACACAGCATGCCACCCCACTTCCCCCTCGTGCCCCCCCCATCCAGAACACTTCACAGACTGGACCGCCACCTCACTGCATCCATTGCTCTACACTGCATTGCGGTGTATCTCCCCCCCACCCCATGGGCCTGCATGTCAACCCACCGTGTCGTGTGGCCCTCCCCCAACCTGTGCAGTTGATGGCCAACTTCGTTGTACCCCCTCACTGCACCCCCTGGCATTGCAGTACAGCGTGTCCCATTCTGCTGCCCCTGCCAGGCCCAGCCAGCTCACGGCGTGCACACCCCCAGCCCTACCTCACTTCTCACTGTATGTCACTGCACTGGCAGGACCCTGCACTGCATCTCCCTACACCAGGTGGGGGCTGGCACCGCACTACACTGCATGGGGGGGGCCTCACGCTGCTCCTTCCTGCACTGCGTCAGGGGCTCTGCAGTGTGCCCAGGGCCTTAGCACTGCACTGACCCCCACCCCAGCACACACACCCGCTGCCCCCTGCCCCCCCAGGACATCCAGCAACTGCTGCAGCTCCAGCAACTCGTGCTCGTGCCTGGGCACCACCTCCAGCCGCCCGCCCAGTTCCTGCTGCCACAGGCCCAGCAAGGACAGCAAGGTGAGGGGGGGACCCTGCTGGACCCCAACGCCCCCCCAGAGCCAGCCACATCCCATGCCTGTGATACCTGCCCTGACACCCACCCAGAGCCAGCCGCTTCCCAGGCCTGTGATACCTGCCCCGATGCCCACCCCAGAGCCAGCCGCCTGGCAGGGGGCATGCCGGGCACTGACGACTCATTTTTCCCCCAGGGCTGCTTCCGACACCAAATCTCTTTCAGCTACCTCAGCAAAGCCCCGGGGCCCTGCTGCCCAGCCAGCCCCGTCCAGGGCTGCCCGCACAGGTGAGCGGGGCTGGGGGGGTGGCACACCTGCCCCAAAAGGGGTCCCGGACGCCTGGGTTCCACCTGAGCCTGACAGGTCAGGGCAGGGG